AGTAGTGCTATATTTTAAAAATACTATCAAAAAATATTAATCCAGTTACTTATATTCAATATTACACACACTGTGCTGCTCTAAATCCAGTTAAACTGGACCAATTATGCTCATTTTAATCAAACATGCAGTTGGAAAGTGTTTGTAAGTACTGATAATATCCACAATATGCTTAAAAAAGCATATTGTGACACTGTGATGTAATTTATCACGATGCCGATAAATATTGTCATATTACCCAGCTATAATTGCTATATGATTGCCAACATAAATGAGTTAATTTCTCATATTACACTTATTTTAAAGAGGCTTATATGTGCAAGGCTCTATAAGACTAGCTCCAGTTCAGTGCTGGTGAAGAGGAACACAGCCATATGATACAGATGACATCTCACTCAGCGCTGCATCAATATTTCACTACATCTTTTCATGAATCTCCTCTGCTTTGTACTGAATGCTGTCTTGTCATATGAGAAAGGCCAAATATTCATCATATCGACAGCAATGTGGGAGCACTGGACACAAACCAGAAATTTTGTAACTATAGAAGAAGTGCAGAAGAAGGCATTGTGAAATTATCTACACTTTTTTCACAGTTACACACTGAGCAGTGTGATTTGTCTGAAACTGTATTGCAGACAAAGAAGCAGCCATGTAACCTTCTAAATATTGAGTTATTCACACAGCAGACCTCCTCCCTGAATTTGGGCTCGCTAACTGCTGCTGTGCACCGTCGCCTCTGGCCTTCACTATGACAGTATTGCAGTGTGGCTGTATGTCCACAAGAGGGAGCTAAATGACTGAGAAAAGCGGAAAGCACTTTAAAATCAGGACTAATGAAAGCAAACCAGTCTATCTCTGCAGAATGGCTTGTGTCATCGTAAAAGAGCTCGTACACAAAATTTAGCAGTCAAGTAAAGAAAGAAAACCCACATAGTAATATATTATGCGCTTTCTGCTCGGGTCAGTCTGATAGGGTCGCGGACTAAAGCTAGTGAGACCAAAATATTAGCACAGTTTATTTAGCGACAGAGAATACATAATATCAGCGCCTTGTATAACGTGATGGTCAACAACAGCTGCGAAACAATTCAAAGACATCTACTGCTAATGCAGTGTGCAGCATTTTGTCTTCCTCTGAGTTTTTTCTGTGTGTCTGTGTAACTGTCCATTACAAGAGTCTATTTTTGGACTCAGGTTCAATGACTATGAAATGTGCAAACTCAGGAAGAGGTGGCTATGCAAGAGAAGAGGAATGGTGAAAGAAGGGAGGGGAGAAGAGAAGAGTAGAGTAGATGAGGGTTGGTGTAATGCGTCTCTGTCCTTTATATCGTCATAATTAGTCCTGTTTAGTTCCTTTTGTCTGTTCTAACTAATCAAACCTCAAAAATGCAAAATATTGTGATGCATATTAATAATGCAGAGTATTGTGATGTATTTTTTTGCCATATTGCCCACACATACTTACTCATTAGCTCTTCCAGTATCAAATGAGAATAGTTGAAATCCCAGTAACAACTCTAGTAACCTAGTCTTGGATTATAGTCAGGCCACTTTGAGACTTGCAAGATATTAAAAGCATTTAGCCGTGGACTGCAGAATGTAGATTATAGAGGTGGGGCTAGGCATCAGCCCCTCTTTTATTTGAAGAGAATGGCCACTCATTAAAGCGTACATTGCTGTCGGGACAACACACAGGGCTTAATTTGATCCCAAAAATCGCACAATAATTTGGCGTGGCTAGCAGTGAGCGCCTCGATTGGTCAAGTTCACATCACCACAGCATTAAACCGGTCTTATAGAAAGAGAGATCGAGCAAAGCTGATTTCGATATAGGTAGACCTGACCCAGTAGGCCTTAAGTTATGTTAAGTGTCCCTGTTTTCATGCAACAGAGGATACATTCATATTAAGAACGTGCGCAGAAAGAAAAGTTGGTTTTTATACAAGGATACACTTTAAAAATAGTTTGTAAGTTGAACTATAAAATACTTCAAATGGTAAAAAGTAATGCATCTGGTTTTATCCCACTCCATTATGCAAAGCAAAATTAGGTTAGATACAAAAGCAAGGTTTCACATCAGTTTAAACTTAAAAAACACTCAAAAACAGCATTTGCCTTGTTCCACTTTTGACAGTGTTAGTTACTGAAAGTTCTTTAGTCCAAATCGTTGGCCTGTAGCCTGGGTGGCGGCCCATGCATTCAGTCCGACTGCTTCAACTGAGAAAAATCAAGAGCCCTTTTAGAACACCATGGACCCATCACTCTCTGTTTTGGAAGCTCCGGGAGTGATCAGAGAAGTACCCCAGTTCATCCCATGGCTGGAGAATGCTAATGTGTTATTAGATATTCAGGATGGGGAGGGAGAGTGCCCAGCGGTTCCTGGGCTCTGAGCGTGTTTAATTACCCCTGGCAGATAGTGATGGAGAGGAGCACCGATGCTGACTCTTTGCTAATTGCGATCTGGGGCTGGGTAAATAGGTCAGGGCTGACGTGCTGGGCCCTGGCAGGGGCTGAAAGAACGGGGGGATATGTCCAGGAGAGGGTGGAGAGATCGGGCTAATGAAGGCTGGGAAGGCCAGAGGAGCCAGTGGTGGAGCATAGCAGCTTCAGGGTGGTCAGCGGATGACTCTGTAGTGACCCTAAGGGAGAGAAGGTGACTGTCTTTTGACCTGAGGGAGCAGAAAACGACCTTGCAATAATGTTTGGTTATGAGTGGAACTGTCTAGCTATACTAGCTTAGCATCTGGTCACCTTTGCTCTGTGTTGAAGCAGATAAATAGAAGGACATTCTGTGTTGTGTGTCCACATAAATGCTGAGCTACATAGAACCAACCCATCAATCCAATTTTGGGTTATCGCCTCAATGCATTTCAGCAGTGGTGCTGCCCACCCCAATTTTCAAGTGTGTACACTTGTAAGTGCTAGGTCTCAACTGATAAATCATTTAGCTCATAATATTGGCTGGTATTGAGGACAATAAAGAGCCAATGTAGAGATAATAATTAGTGGCTTTTCTATAGAGTTATCTTTTGGCTTCAGTGACAGGCTGACCTGGTATATATAAACAAAAAAAAACAGTATAAAATAAAATTGTACCATGTTAATGTAGATTAGAAAATATGAGCTGATATGAATTATCAAAAGTTTCAGCCCCTTAAAATCAGCATTGGTCACAACAGTTTAACCATAAGCTTAGAGCACAAATACCCCACGCAGCCATGGCATATGATTCTGAAGCTTCCTCTCAGCAGTTTAAGAAAATGTGACACTGATCACTAGATCTTTGCAAACTCTTCACCCGTTATCTTATCATTACGTTTAGTTATGTAGCAGACAGTCTTATCCAGAGCAACTTCGAAAATGTGTAGACATTAGAAGCCAAAGCGATGCAAAGTACCTAGAATCTGCAGCCTAAGAGGCGAGAGTCATACCGTAGTTTGGTGTAGTTAAATACATGTAGAAATCGAGGAGAACGAGTTAAGTGCTTTTTTTCTCAGAGTATCTGTTGACACATCCCTGCTTCAGATAGAACATTCTGTTCAACCCTTGTTCTCCATCAGTCTGAGGAGGGAGAGAGAGAGAGAGAAGACATCTCTCTGTTCGTCTCTTGTCTGTTTCTCTGTCTCTCTTTTCTATTGCATGTCCACTCTTTTTCCTCAGGCAGCTCTTAAAGGAATACGTTGCCGTACAAATGTTGACATTGCTAATAATAAATGAAGGCTAACGATGGAAAATGATGGTGTTTTTAATTTCATTCATGAATTGCTTTCGTTCATTGATGGCTATGTTAGCACTCCTGAGCGAAGCACTCCTTTAGTATGTCTCTTCTTCACTCCCTCTGTTCATCCTCTCAGGATTTCTCCTGGTGTCTCTCACGTTGGCCAGACTAGTGTCTTTTTGCCAAAATGACAGGGACAGTCTGCAGTGCCATATGCCACTGCATACAGAGAAAGAGAGAGGGAGAGAAAGAAAGAAAGAAAGAGCTGCTTGAGTGCCAATAGTGCCCCTTCGCCTGCTGAACTTGAGTAGTGAGTGAGTGAGTATATGAGTGAGTGGGTGAGGGAGTGAGTGAATGAGTGAGTGAGTGAATGAGTGAGTTACAAGTCAGGTCCATGAGGTACTTCACTCAGTGTTTTAATTCACAATTCTGAAAAGCTTTTAGGAAATAACTGACTTTTCGTTCTTTCTTAGCCACATTAGCTGTTTTTGGCTGACAGTTCTTAGATATTATTTGTTGGTTATGGATACGATTATGTTTTTCTTATTACTGTTGCTATAATAAGGGGTTTGTACCACCAGGTGTAAAGCCTTTCTAGGTAGTTTCCTTGATTGTTTGGTCAGTCTATGGCAGTTTGCCCAATCTTCACTGACTGCTTCCTCTCCCCACCTATGTGTTCACATGACAGTTATTCTGTTTTTCATATATGAATGTTTGGTCCACTTTTCATAGTTTCATACCATGTACAGCCTTTTATGAAACTGTGTTTGAGGACAAACAACCACTGCTGATGTCACCAACCCCGACCTCACTGCTTTCTTTTACTCTGACAGCTCATTGTGGGACTTAGTTCTAATTACATAATTAAAAAAAAAATATTCTGATTTACTAGCTTTGGTTTCTCTTTTAAAATCTTTAATTCACTCTGTGCATAGCTAATGAACTGTCTTCTCCCACAACAGCAGTCTCAGCCTCATCCTCATCTCACGTGAAAGAGGTGTGGAGTGCAAAACCATGATAATTAGCGGGCAGTAGCTAGCAGCAACCTCACTGTGCAAAGCTCTATAGAGCCAGAGCTCCTATATGACATTACACACTCTTGCTAATCAGCACTGCGAGATCAACTCCCTAACAGCTAATTCCTTTTTATACTTTGATTTTGTGATGCATACTTTCCATACTGTCTCATGGTTTTGCACTCTGTACCTAATGTAGTGTAATGAAGACCTGCCAGCACCAAGCTCAGTATCTAACCTTCCTTCTCCTCTCTTGCTGTCAGGTAATGTGGGTATGCAACTTGTGCCGAAAACAACAAGAAATCCTCACCAAGTCCGGGGCCTGGTTCTTCAGTGGGTCAGGGGCTGCGTTGCCCCCAAGTGCGAGTGACCTCCGGGGTGTCTCACGCAGGCGCCACGAGGAAGCTCCTCAGGAGAAGAAAGCCAAACTGCAGGAGGCCCCACTCCTCTATCAGGGGCCGGCAGGGGACCGAAGCAGGGCGCCAGGCCTCGCCCGCCAGCACTCCCTCGACAACGGCTCGGGGCTGAAGCCTGGTGAAATTGCTGCCGACAGGTGAGGGCCAGATGGGCACTTAAATATTTTTACCAATGCTTAAGATGGATTGGAACTGTCACAGGCTTGGTGCGCATGGTTGAAAGTGTGTTTAGGGAAGTGCTCAAAGCTTTTGGGTGGAAATCAGTGGATGCATGTCCCAGTGCTGTGTGAGTAGCTCCTGAAAGTTCCTGAAAGTTTCTGAGACTTTCATAGTGGAATACTGGGAAAGTATAGTTAAAGTATATAGCAAAATCCCAAAGGTCTAAACCTTCAGCTTTGTCATGGTATGATACAACTCTGATTTGTAAGGTGAAGAGCAAGGTTTCGAAGGTGACTTTCAGCTTTGCCATGGTACAATGCAAGTTCGTAAAGTAAAGAGCAGGGTCCTGAAGGTTTAAACTTTCAGCATTGAGTTGGTCTGATATCGTTTCTTTGAATTTTAATGTTATCATGCTAAAGGGATTTGGATACATTTTACGTATTTTAGTTATACTAGCCATGATAGTTCCCATTTCAGCCTTTACCAGTGTGATGTAGTTAAATAGGGAATGAGTGCCTCAGAGGTAAAACCGTCTAAAGCCAGGCATACACTGTGTGATTTTAGAAATCTTGTTCTTTGGTGACTCACACAAAGCATGTGATTTATATACTCACACTGTACGAAAACACTTGGTCCGACTGACATGACGCGACATGGGTGCTCACACTGCACGTGAAATACAGCCCATACAGACAGCTCTGTCTACAATAAAGCTGTTTCATTCAAAACAACACGCTGCGCCCCTGGGTCCCGAGCAAAAACATAGAATCTCAGACGGCTCCCTGCTCCCTACGTAGTGCACCACATATTAAAATTGTTGCTCCTGCACCCATAAAGTGCATCACAGGTCTAATAAATAGCCTTCTGCGATTCAGCCATGTGTGCACAATTCCATACTGGACAAACAGTGCGCTATTTTGGTGTAGAAGCCAGATTTAGCCACTGACAAGCCGCTACAACACCTTTGCTAACTTGTGCCACCCTGTGCACTGAAGCTAAAGAACAGGCAGTCTACAGACAGCTCTATGAAGACAAAAAAACATTTTTATATTTACTTATACTTCAACTCAACAGAGCAAAGTCGGCATACACGGATGCTGGTGCCGCAAATGTGGACCTTTTTGTCTCCGTGTAGGAGCGGTGGTTGTGATTGTGTGTGGTTTTGGGTGTGACTTTGTGAAATCAGTTTGTGAGGCTGCTCAAACTGTGAGACAAGCAACCAAAATTTCTGACATCAGAAATCCATCCAATCGGAGCTCATTTGGGCGGTTAATCGGGCATCGTTTACATATGATGCTACAAACGACGACCGATGAAGCTGAAATTCGGCCCGATCATGAAATTCAGTCGAAATCGCACAGTGTAAGCCTGGCTTATGGTTTAGCCCTTTCATCAGGAGTTTGAATTTCAGCGATGCCGCAAAACATTAGCCACTAATTATTCATACATTGTTGCCACTAAGTGCTGCAAAAACAAGGCAGTTTTTTTGTTTCATGGTAGATTGCAATATGCACACTGGATCAATAGAAATATACTACTACCTGCAAGAAACTTTTTCTATAAGCATGAAGCATCTAGACTATCAGAAGAAGAAGTTCCTCTTTCTGTACTGTAGTGGCCTGAATAGATTAGATCAGGTATTCATGCTTTCGTTGCTTATGCCAGAGATAGGCTCCTACTGAAGACACCTGGCTTACATATATTTTGAGTTTGCGGAATAAACTTTGCACTCCCAAAGTTATGTTTATGTTGGAAAAGCATGCTATGACTGGTGAGCAGGAGAAAATGAGTTTAAATGAAAGGAAACGCAGCCGGCGTCTGTAGACCAGGATTTAGCGTTTACATCTTTAAATAGTGAAACTGCAGAGGGAAAGCTACTGCTATTGGACACCCACTTTGAGCAAAGACCACATATACAAATCTATATACATACTGAGAGTGTTATTTTTGTACGTAAGTCGTGATGTTCAAAATTGGGTTGAGTTGTTTTTTTTATTGGAGAGCTAATTTATATGCCAACCTCACTATATTTTACAGAACAAATTAATGTGAATGTTCTGATAAAGCGTTTACTGTAATTTAATTACATCATCCCACTGTCTGTGTAAGTCTGCCTGGGATGCAAATATGTTGGACAGGTTCACAGCAAAGATACGAAGCACAATTCGAAGTGAGATGATTAGTTTGCATGATAATACATATTTTATATTTTATATACTGCTCTCTCATAGCATTTATATGCTTCTTTTCTTTACATAATGTAAACAGTTGTGTGCAAACATGTAAGTGCCCCTGGATAAATTACGTTTTGTTGATTATGTAAATAGAAAATAAGTACAAAGAGCACAATTTCAGTGCACAGTTACTGTCATCATGTGATAGAAATAAACAATACAAAATATAATGAATTAAATAAATAAATAAAACAAACAAACAAAAAAAATATAAATTGTGTCCTGTGCAAAAGTTATGGCACGTTACAATTTTTGGAATTGTGCACTAAAAGTGGCAGAGGAATGACATATATAGGTGTATTATTTTAGAAAACCTGTAGTTTGACCAGGGTTATTCAAACGGTCAGACTTTCGGTATATACAGTACTGTGAAGAAGTCTTGGGCATTTGACACCCCAGAAATTATATTTAAAGAGTTAGTTATCTGGGCAATAACTTTTTTATTTATTTTGTTCAGAAAAACACTAATTATAAGAAGAAATACAGATAACATAGCCTCAATAAGTAGTAAATTTTACATATGTGAATGTTCTTGTTTAACCATTTCCAAACCCCTCCTTGTTGAAGCCTGGTTTTATTTGTAGTTATCATCTAATGCCTTGTTTGGCTGATTTGTGATTTAGTAAGTTAAATTAAGTATGTCATGGAATTTACCAGATTCATGCAATGGCTGGATGCGTTCAGGAGAAATCTGAAACTTTGTCAAACAAGCTCAAAAGGTTTATGGCTTTAGTGTTTATTTGTCTTTTTTTAGCAGTTTGCAAAAGTACCTAAGACTTTTGTACAGTAATGTATGATTTTTTTACAGGCTTATAAGTTAATCATTTTCAGTTAAAGTATTTGGGAGTCTTCAAAAGACTATGCATGGTTTATCATTGTTCAAGTCAATTCTTATTGTTTAACCTCTTTTTAAACTATAGTAATTGTCAAACGAACTGTCAAAATAATTAGTAGATTACTGTATTACTTACATAATCAGTAGTGACAGTCCTAGTTCCCCTGCATACTTTTAGCCAGATATGCATAGCGCTCTGCCAGTCTTCAGTTCCACTTCTGACCAACAGAGGGCTCTTTGTCCTCTCTCTCTGGACAGCACGTTCTCTCTCGCTCCCTCAGCGCTGTGTGTGAAGTGCCCTGACAGTAATTCCACTGGTCCTGATTAGATTCCTTCATGCAAACAGATGTCTGCACCCTTGTAGCCAGGCCACCTGCTGCGTGTCATGTTGATCCTGTGTTCTTGTGCGTCTGCAGGAGGCAGGGGATTGTGGGCAGTGTGTCATGCGGAACGCCGCAGGGAAGGGCAGGTGATCTCACCTGGACTTGGCGTGTGTGTTAGTGAGAGAGCTGGAAAAAAGAGAGAGTTTTAGAGCATGAATTTGCTTGTGTTGTGTTGCAGTTGAAACCTTAATTAGGTGGTGTCAAAATGATGTTCTGTTTCCCATGACTACTACTCAACTAATGAATAGAACCATGAAATAAGGCTGTGTCTGTAGGAATGATGCCGCGTTTATGACTCAGAACTGGGAACTTTGCAACTTCCGAATGGGAAAAATTCACTCGAACAGCCCCCTACTCATAACTTGCACTGGGAAAGCACCCATGACAGCACTGTAACACTTTATTTGAAGCCTGTTACATAACACTGACATAACTGTGCCATAAATATGCCATGGGAGATGTCATATGCTGTCACACGTTGCTGGTTATTGTCATGACAGACATGTTTGATGTTATGACAGATTATGTTACATACTAGTTTTTACTAAGCGCACTCTGTCAGACATTATGATATATGCCATGACACATTACTGGTAACATGAACATGCCACTGTTATATTTAAGCAATAGAACACGAGAGGGAGTGTGCTATCGCGAAACAACATCACAGCCATGATGTTATAGCGATAACACACAACCTCGAGTGTTCTATTGCTTTTATACAACAGTTAAATAAATAAAGTAAGAAATGAATAAACTGGGCTGTGAATGTGGCATTTAATATGTTTTAATGTTACCAATTCTTACACCAAATTATAGTTCCTTAACAAACAGCTCGTTGCTACGTCACAGTAACGAGCTCCGCCCACTCGCTGCACAGCCAGCAGTTCGTTCTCCAGCTCCTTACACTAAATTCTGAAACTGTCATCACCACTGAGCAGCTTTTCTATTTTGTATTGCAGCGGTTTTATGGCTCAGTCATCTTCAGAGTCTGACCAAATTGGCTGTAGGTCAAATGTGATCTTAAAAATATACATATTCTGTTTGTGTGAGAAACTCGTCAAACTCGTTGCTTAGCAACGGCGTCGCAGCGGAGTGATACAATGTTTGTGGAAAACCTATGATGTTATGGCGAAATATCAGCAACACCTCTCAACCAATCAGCTTGCGTGGCCGGAACTAACTGTTGTATAATATTGAACAAAACCTGCCATAACAACTCATGACAGCATATGACATCTGCCATGACATGTTTATGTTCAATTACTTTACTATAGTGCTATAGCAAACAGGAAATAATAGCACATTTAAGCTTTTTAAGTAGAAACTGTTGTATTTCCCTTTGTGTATGATGCGTTTAACCCTTCTTAACAGTAGCACTAAAATACAGTTTTCTGTTTTGGAGGTTTGTTTTTAAGCTGTGCATTTTGTTTCTTCAAAACAGGAATTGGACATATTTAGATGTAAATGATTTACAAAACTGGAAGTATACTGGATTTTCTTCATCATAGGAGAGCAAGCATTTAGAAGAGTGTTTGATAGGGTTAAGGCTAGCACTTGCTTCCTCCAAGACAAGTGCAGCGTCACTGCATCTTTTCTAACTGCCACCTGCGCAACATCATCATTGGACAGCTCAGCGTGCTTGGAGGAGAACACTAACTGCCAATTCTGTTATGTTAGCCAACAGACGCCTGCTTTGGCTAACAAAAAGTGTTTGCAAGCTCGCTTCCAGTTTTGTAAATCATGGCTAACATTGCTGTGAGTGATGTGGGTGAGGGAATGCCAACATTCCCACCCAGAGAGAGCAAGGCTGGTTATGCTCCACTGGAACAGTGCTGGCTACGGATGGCTGAGGCATCGCTGGAGAACTTACAATCGCTGATGCTTAGACAGTTGTGCCACTTGAGAGCTCCTGTGTACAATTTTTTGATGTCAAGAAGCTGCACTTGTCTGCTTTATCTCGGCATGGTAGTCTTTGTGGAGAGGTGCGACTTGTTTTCACAGCAGAGAGTTCTAACTCCTCCCTTTTTCATCCCTCATTGCTCGCTAGCAGCTAAACAAAGACTCACAACATTTCACACACAGAGAGACAACAGTGTCCGAGTTAGTGTGACAGTCTAACTATGGGGAAAAATATTTTTATTTTGTTACATTAATTAAAAATATCAAAGTTGATTTCCATTTCATCTGAGGAAATGTTCATGGGCGGGTCTGCAGAAATAGGTTTCAGTCGTTAAATACATGAGAATACTTGGAAAATTGTATGTAAGTAAGTTTTTAAATTAAATTGCCGCAAACACGTGCGAGCTTTACTGTGGGCATCCCTTTTTTTTTACAACTTTATCCTTTTAATCCCAAGCGACAAATGTGTCTATTTCTGCTTTATAATCTAGTCTCCACCTTTAATAATGTGACTTCTCATTGCTGTTGTTGCATTTATTCTTAAGCTGAAAATTCATAGATAATTATTGGGCTTGTGTCACTATCAATTTGAACAAGCACACATAATTAGGAACAGCTAAGTCTGAAAATATAGAGCTCCTCGTTGAATGATGTGGTATGAATGGTGGGCTTCACCTGGCTCTACCTGCCAGATGTACCTGAACAACTCAGGACAACTGGTGGGATTTAAGCTGCTTATACCAAGGCAGCCCAACGTTCAGCTTTAGGTCAGAACAAGTGCTGTTAGATGAAAACGCACACACATGCACATGAGGCCACGGGCAAATGTTTCTGCTGTTCTTTCAGATCACGGGGGTTGGCCTCATGAATTATTGCATAAAACCCCTCACTAGTAGATGTACATATTGTATTTCTGTTGGCGTGCACACGTTGGAACACTTCTCCTCAGCAGAAAGGTGATAGGTTTAAGGCGAGTGTACCATATGGCTCTGAAACTGTGCCTGCGTTCACCCAAGCTCGCTCCAACATTATGTAACAGAATGCATTAGAGCACTGTGGCCTTGACTTGAGTGGACTCCACAGCTCCTTTCAAGACCGCATGAGTGAACTCTTTTTTCTGCCTACAAAGGCTCATCCGACAGCATCATCTTAAAGATGGTAACCATAAACAATCCAGCACACAAATCTGAAGAAGTTATCATGACCAAAATTGCTCTCATTGGCTGGGTTTACATCAAAGATTTTTGCCAATCCGATTGAATACATTCCGATTATAGATTAAGACTGAGGTGTTTATATTCACGCTACTCAACAATCTGATGGAAAATCTCTGTTTACATGCTCGCTACATGCAGTTGGTTTCAAAATGATGTGCACGCATAGAGAACCACTTAGTGTAAATGCTACCTTGACAACGAGCATCACGTGAGTCCAGTCAGAGTGAGACGAGCCGCAGCGAGCAGCGCTTATGTTTTTAATTACTTTAAAATGACGTCAGACTCAGGAAAACATACCTCACATGTACTTATTAAAGAAGGCCGAGAGGAAGACGTCGTGTTCTGAGACACATAAGCTGGACGTCCGTCCCACCGCCGTCTTTTAAAGATCAAAGCATAAACTTCGTTTCCTCTGCAGACCAGTTTCTGCTCCGCCATGTTGAACGTTGTAAACTTTCACTATGACGTGACGCACATGCGCAGAATGTACTTACATGTTTGCACTGGGAATGTAAACGGATACAGAAGTTTACATGGTTATTATTCTTCTATTTAACAGATTTTTATACAGGATTACTCACCTCGTTCAGTCAGACAGAAATTGTATTCCGAATGGCCTCAATCGGACTAGTCTATTCCGATTGAGGTGTTTGCATGGACGTATTCTATTCTGATTGAGGTATTAGTCGGGTTATTAACGGATTATTAGGCCGCATGTAAACATGGCTAATGATTCACAAAGCTGAAAAAAATACTTGATTGAGTTTACTTGATTTAAATGTGTAGATCGTTTCCACATGATATTTATTATGTCAACACAGCTTTTGGCTATAATTCTGTTGATGAAATATATTTTATTTGTGTAGAAATGAGTCTCACCAGAACGTTTCAGTCAGTTGTTAGAAATGGAAAACAGCAGTAACTAAGGACTAAATATACAATAAACGTTCTGAAGTTTATATACACCTGCTCATGCAATCTTTCTTCCAAAATCAAAGTTATTAATAGGGGGTTCGTTCCACCGTTGCTGCAGTAACAGCCTGTACCCTTCTGAGACGGTTTTACATAAAATGTTGAAACACTGCTATGAGGATTTGATTGCATTCAAACACAAGAGCATTAGTGAGGTCACATACTGATGTTGGATAATTAACTCTCAATCGCAAATGCCACTCCCAACTCCCAAAGGTATTGAATTTTGCTCCATCACTTTAAAGAACGCAGTTCCACTGCTCCACAGCTTGTACTGAGAGGCTTTATATCGCTTGCCATTGAGCATCCTGTTCTATTGGCAGTGCTTTTCTGTGGAGATCATACAGTTGGTGCACCTTAATGTAGCTGAATTCACTAAATAAATGGGGAAAAAAATAAAAATATTTGGGGACATTGTATATTAATGTGTCTGTTCCAAGCTTTAGATAAAATATGGAATGTTTTTAATAGCTTTAAATGGCCATGTATGATTAAAAATGTTCAAAAAATGTCCATCTGAATTGGCCTTAGCTTAGTGCTGACATACTATTAGATTCCCATAAGGATGCTACTGGAAATGAGCATTTTTGTAGATGTGTTTTTTCCCTTGTTTTTGACCAGGTTCTGACATTTATGGCCCAAACTGAAGGCTTGGCTTAGTCATGGTTCACTTTAGGCTCTGCCATATACTGCTATAGGCCCATAAACAGGCTTTTCTGTGGCATTACCAAATTACTTTCTATCCATCCATGTATGCTAAAATGAGTTATTATTATATATTTTTTTTGGAAAGCGCCTGTCTCTTGCCTGCCATCAAACCCTTCATCTCACAATACTATTCTCAATCGGCAGTGGCTGTGGGCTGCTATCTGACGATGGTACACGATCTCACAAGCCTAAAACTGCAATTCTTGTTTATGTATGCACTATTTTAAATTTTTGAATCCCATTACATAGTGCACCTTTGTATATTAGTGATATTTGCATGTTTATTTTTCTACCAGTAACACTTTTTTGAACATTACACTTGCATTGCATAGGTAAAAATGAAATTACTCATATGTGAAAGTTTTAAAGAAATGTCAGGAAACATTTTTTATTTTATTAATTATTTGAAACATACAAAGTGAATCATGAGAGAAGTTATACTAGTATTATGTTACAATAATTTATTTTCAACCAAGGTTTTATGCTTACAGTCGTATGTTTTGTTATTAATTGAAAATAAGTGAACACGTCTTTTACAGAGTACACATTTTAATGCACAATTGCCTCTTATTTGCTGAAAAAAGCAGGTTAGAGGAAAAAAAACATAAAACGTGGTTTGTGTTTTTAATTTTTTTCAATAAGTTATAACAGAAATTCTGCACTTAAATTTGCAGAGAAATTACATGTCTAAGTTTGTTCCCTGCAGAAGATGTGTTAACGTCTTTTCACTTAGAAAATGAACAAAACATCTAATTTGTTCAAACTATATAACTGTATATAAACAAACTTCTGAATGATGAGTCCAAGCTTTTGAATGGTAATGTATAGAATAGTGGATGATGTACTCCTTATATGTTTTCCAGTGCTTTCTCCAGTTCTGTTGCCTTTATCTTAAGCAGATCTCTGTGCTGACTCTGTGATTCCAGTTCAGTTAACGCTGTGCTGAATGAGCGGCTGCCAGGACCGGACTAGGCCCGTCTGAACAGTCCCGGGAAAAGCCTGCTGATGAATCCAGCTCCCGCCGCCTAAGCGCTGAAAAAGCACGTTCATTAATCTTAAAGAATGTTTAAATTAACTCCCAATCTCCTCCACTGAAAAAGCGCTGACAGCCTATTTATATCCTGGAATAACGTGGGAAGGGGCTCTAATTTGTCTTGGTCTCCGAGGTGTCATTCGAGCGAACACACGGTTACGAAGAGAGAGGGAGGGAGAGAGAGAAAAGAGGGCGAGACGAGTGGGAGAAGAGAGCGGTTGGATAAAACAACAATAATTGCACTGGGATTCGAATTTAATTATGGCTGTGGCGTTTTCTCAGGGTTTCACACTTTTTTTTCCATCGCCACCTCCTCCCACCATCAGCAAAATGCATTAGTGTTGTCTTATTAGTGCAAGACACAACATGGCGCCTAACAGGCCGAGCTCATTTTTGTGGGGGTTGACAAAAACAACTGCTTTTATGAAAGGCCTTGTATATTGCTACTGACTTTCCTCTATCCAGGGCAGGATATTCATTTTTAACACAAGTCCAATAACATCTACAGTATATTAAGTTATTTGTTGTGCTTGCAACTGTTGTAGTATAATACATTTGTTGTGGTTGCCCTGTGTACCTTAATACATTTTACACAAACAGGTTGCTGTTTTAGCTGGGTTTTCTATCATGCCACATTACTTGCAGCTAAGTTTAATATTTAGTTGGATAACACCTATTTTGACGGTTATTTGTTGAGTTGTGTCTGTGTACTATAAAACAGTTGTAGTTGGGCCTTCCTGGCTGGAAACGCCAGAAATTCTAAAAAATGCTTAAAAATCGCAAAAAAAAGTTTTTTTACGCTTGGATGAGATGGAAAAGTTGGTTTATCATTCAAGGAGAAATGCTAACAGATCTTTTGAATAAGTGATGTCATAGTACAATGGTTTTCAAACTGTGGGTCTTAACTCACTGGTGGGTCACAGTTTGGGCACGAGTGGGTCGCAAGCTGCATCAGTGCATATGTAGAGCATGACTAAATGAAGTGTGTTTTAGATCTGAAGTGTGAACCACGCCATTTCTGCACCTCACAGCACCGCAGACGTTTGCCTGTTGTCTGTGTGGCTGTGTGCAGCATGCACGGTCACTCGCAATTGAAGTGCGATTATCAAGTGATACGTGAATAACAACAGCAGAGATGCCCAATTCCAAAACAGTTGGGACGCTATGCAAAATGTAAATAAAAAAACAGAATGCAACTATTATTACTATTATTATTATAAGAGTAATATAATATAATTATTACATTACTATATCATAGATTAGCTCTCTGTAATCTGTGAATTTATATATGTTTTGGACCAAAATCTTATCTTATTAACTGTCATAAACCAATGTCTCAGACATCAGGCAGCGTATTCACAACCATTTCAAACCTCTTGTTTCTATCACCGCTGTGAACAGTCCTGACTCAGTTTCTGTGGAATGGAGCATTTCACATCTAAACACTCTGAATGATGTCTACACGTGTATTTAATATTTTTTGATGTATACACGTTAGAAAATCTGTTAAATTCCCCTTTAACAGGTATTTATTGGGATTGCGCCCATATACTATAGTACATTTGTTGCATTTGGGCCTCTATTTGGGGTGTTCTATAATATACCTCAAAGAAACACCTCGCTATTTTGGCTGAGGCTTCTGTTATGCCATGTTACGCGATGCAGTTGATGGAGCTGATGGCATGATAGAAGCCTCAGCTAAAACAGGGAGCCGTTTGTGTGAAATGCTGAGGCGGCACATAGGAGTGTTTCACGGTGCTCATGGTCGTGTGTCTTGAGAGCAGCGTTTGAAATGGTTGGGGGGTGGGGGAGGCACATAGCTTAAACTGCACCTGCGCAGCCTTGGGATGCATTTGCTCATATAAGTTACCCACCTGTCTCTCCTCGCTGCAGTTAAAGTCTAATATTTAAAAAAAAACTATTAAACTGCAAGATTTTCCACACTAAAGCTGGGGGGGTGGGGGGGGTGGGAGGTTAATGTAGGCCAAAGGCGTCAAGGACACCACCGGCCTACATTAAGGCCAGTGGCTAGTGCTGGCCAGTGGCTCATGAAAGGATTCCAACTGACTTATTGTGATCTGCTTACTGCTTTTTTAATACGTAAGGTCTGCGGTAGATGCATACGCAGACCTTGCCTGGGTAGGTGACGTTTTCACAGCTGGAGCATGGGTGGGATTTGTACAGTTTGAAATCAGTTGTGTAAATCAGACTTTTTTCAGACTTCTTTGCCCACCCATCTATTTTTCCTTTGGTTGATGTTGCTGTGCATCAGAATTTGTTCCAGCAAAACGTTTGGCAAAAACATGACAATGCATGTTTTCTTTATGTACAGGTACGTTTTCTAGTCTGAAATCTTCTAACTGAAATATATTGAAGGAGCCTCATTTTTGGCGCTGCGTCAGCCTCTGGATTGAAAAAAAAACATGTGAAATTAAATCTGAGCATTCACACTGAAAAAAATTTGAATCATATTTTATCTGACTGGGTTTGCAGAAATCAGATTTAGTTATTTTTAAATTTGTTTTTGTGTATCGGTCCCACCAGGATATCATGGCCTTTTGTGATTGTTCTGGGCTAAAATGCTCGATGTTGCAGTAGCTTTTCTCAAAATTTGCATCAGTATTCGCACAGTGGGGAATAACATTAAAGGTACATATTATTAAATATGGTTTGGCAAGCTGTTTAAAATTAATTAGCATTCTGTAGTTCTCTGTCAATTCCCAACAAGACAGTATGCCTCTGAAGCATCATCAGGTTACTTGTCAGCCGTTGCTGATATCACAGTTGATTACATCGCCCTATGACAAAGGCGTACTCTGATCTAGAATCTGAACCCAGCATCTAATGTATTTTTCAGCAATAAGCAGAGTGCCAAATCGTGCACAGCAGTGAACAGAAAAACAAGTTAAATTTTCACGGTGGAAAAGTGAGTCAGTCATCGACTTTCACTAGGGGTCCACGATGAGTGCGTTTACATGGACTTAGTAATCCGATAACTGCAGAAAATCAGATTTTGTCAGTAATTCATTTAACGTGTTCACGTGCACTTGAGTAATCAGATAACGGAAAAACTCAGAAGTCAGGCAGAAGTCGGATTTTTGCTTTGCAGCGGCCAATAAACTCACAGAAGGCGACGTGACATAAATGGAAAGTAAAACTAATTGTCATGTCGTGCCTCAAGTCACTATAGCGAAAAATATGAGTATACATCATCCAGAACAGGGGCTCTCAACCTTTTCCACCCCAAGGCCCACCTGTGTATAACTACAAAGCATAGTGGCCCACAGGAAAACTAAAAACTTTAAAAAAAACATCTTTATTTTTCTTATCGTAAATGCTGACACTGAAAACCTGAAAATTAGGTCCTGATAAAGATCAGATTGGCCATTCTGGTTGTCAGTAGGTTTTCACAATTTGCAGGTATATTAAAAACATGAAACAAGTTAGAAAACCACACAGTGGTAGTGATGTCAGAAAAGGGGACAAAGAAAAAAAAGAATAGAAATGTACAAGATAGATGTGATTTGGAGCTGCAGTCCATCTCATTTTCACTGAAAATACTCCACTGGCTTTTCCAAAAGAGTTTGGTCTCTAGTTTTGAGGGTTTTTGTGATTCATTTGAAATAAATCACACTCCACTCACTGGGCTTTTGAATTAGCGTCGTCACAATAAACAATAGTGATGAATCTTACATTATATCTGCTTATTTGTCATTGATTTATTAGTTTGAGGTTAACCTCTCGCTGATGTTCAGCGAAATATATGCTGCGCGATCCATGAGCTGAAATCAAACGCTTTTCTAAAATTTTTTCTGTTATTTTATGGCTCATCTGTTGTTTTTAATAGCAGCTTCTGCTCAGTGTCTAAGGAGTCAGTCGTTAAAACAGTCTTATGCTGACTGTACGGCGCCGTCGTGCCTCTAGAAGAGAAGGAAAGCCAGCTCTACTGGTGAATTCCCTCGTTTGATCACAGCGCATTCCATCAGTGGACCGAGACCTGCAGTTTCTGCCGGACCGGTTCAGCTGTTTGCTGCAGACCTGAACACAGGTGGAGTGTTCACTCGTGAAAACAGAGTGAACTAAAGAAAAAGGTGTGATAAGTCTAAACAAGCGCTTTAGTTTTTTATGACTTACAGTGACGTTACCGGCCCGAATTGCTGCCTCCCTCTGAGTACTGGCCCGCAACCACTAGAGGTTGCTTCACAGCCCACAGGTCGAGAAACCCTGATCAAGAAGATGAAGAATGTTTAAATTCTTCATTTTGTCAAGCGTGTAGTTGGTTTCAGCGTCGCTGTAATTGTGTTTTGTTGCCATCTTACTGATGCTGTGTTAAACGCTGCTTGCTACTTCTGGGACAGCTCGCTGTTTGCGCTTATGCGCAACGAAAGAAATCAGAGTAAGGGTTCACGCGCTGGAAAACCTGATAGTTGAGCTAAAATTGAGTTGAGCTCTCTTAATTGGATTTCTAGGCCTGATCTAAGAATTCAAAGTACGCTGTTCACTGGACCACTTGAATAATCAGATAAGTGCCGTACAAACCAGTTTCCCTGCTTTCATGTAAAACGTTCAGGAATCGGTTTGCCTGGTCTTTAGCTCAAATATTGATTGGCAGTTGTGATCATTTATCTGCATTATCCATTGTTTCCCGGCATGTTGCACTACAGATGCATGCTTAACTATGGAAGCACTAACACGATGTGCAGTAATGCGGTGAATAGACAAGATACAAATATCGCGAGAGTTGGCGTAACTGGCTAATCACAAAAACAATCCGATATGCAAAACAATCGAATTTGTGCTGCCATGTGTGAACAGACTCACTGGCTTCAAATCGAAGTCTCTGCTGTTCTTCCAGCCCTCCCTGCCTGTGCTTGGTGTGTAGTGGTCGAGCTCTCTCCATCGCTTTGCAGAAAACCCCTCAACGGTTTGTGTAAAAGTTCCCGCCCCCTACCTTCCCTTCACCCCCTCCCTCCCTCCTTCTCCTCCTCCTTCCTCACGCACTAGCTGGAACACCTCGCATTTGCTAGGATGCTTTTCTTAAAAGCGGACGGTGGCCAGTTAGCTTCGACTAACAACAGAGGGAAAAAAGAAATAATGAAATAAATAAGAAAGCCCTGACGCCAGCAGCATTTCTCTCCTCGTGGTTCGCCGAGCGGAGGAAAGGAAAAAAGAAAAGAGAGAGCGATGCTGCACTGGGACTTTCTGCTAGCTGCTTAGCCTCGGTTTCTTCTCCACTCTGTGCCGAGCCGCTCGCTTTATCTGGGTTATATATTTATTTAGCTCTCTCTCTCTTTCGGTTCGAGTTGGGATCGCGATGCCTGAAGCAGCCCGGCTCGGCCAGCTGTGCTGCGGGAGCCCGGCAGGAGCAGCAGGGCGCTGGGCTGCGCTCCTCTTCTTCCCCTGGAGGTAGTCGCTCGCTCCGTCGGTCGGTTGATGGAGGTGCGGGAGCTGAACCTGAATCATCGCTGAAGGAAGGAAGCGCTAAAGCACGCAAGAAGGAAGGAAGGGGGGAATAAAAAAAATACTAATAACGATGCAGTTTGAGACGCTGCGTCAGTTCTGTAGCTCGGTGCTGTCCCATTTTAATGGGGCTTTCAGTGCGCCCCAGAACATTTTACAGACGGAGCTGCTGGAGCAGGCGCTCAGCAACATCGGGTGAGCAGTCAGTTCCTGTGGGACGGAGTGGGACATATGCAGTTTTTCTCCGCGCTGTGTGTGTGAGAGAGAGAGAGAGAGAGAGAGCGCGCGTGGAGGCAGGTATCGATCAGGAGATGCCTGCTGGATGCAGTTAATGCAGTTCAAATGCGTTTGGCTTTCTGACGAAGCAGTGCGGCAGAGGAGCCGGCGGTGATCGCAAAGGGAGCGGAGAAATGTTGCGATTTAGCCGAGCTGTGTGTGTGTGTGTGTGTGTGTGTGTGTGTGTGTGTGTGTGCGCGCGCGCACTGATGCTCCGCTGCCGCATGAGTGTACGTGTGTCTATGCGCCGCTGCTTGGACATCACGAGCGTTTAGTTCTGCAAATTCCTGCTATTTTTTCACCGCTGCCTTGTATAAGCAGAGCTATGGAAGCCCATTCCTGCCAGAGAGAGGAAAAAATCGCCTTCTCCTGTTTTTGGCTGTACTATGTCAAAAACATTGAAAGAAGGGCTCATTTTCTCGAAATATTGACTTTATATCGTGAAATATTTACTTATTTTCTGAAAAAAAAAACATGACTTAGCATCTCAAAACAATTACTTGTTTTCTCAAAATATTCACTGAGTATATCAGAACAATGACTTATTTTCTCAGAATACCGACCTAATATTTTAAAATAATGACTCATTTTCTCTAAATATTGACATAATATCTCAAGATAATGGCTTATTTTCTTGAGCTTTGTTTGCCGAAATAAGAGATATTAAATTTCAAAGAATAGTCATTATTATGACATGGTAAGTCATTATTTCAACATAGCAGATGTTTATTTTGACATTGTGAGTCAATATTCTGAGAAAAAATATCAATTTAGACATAGCAAGTCAATATTTTAAAAATACTAAGTCAAAATTTGATATACTCCTGCTTAAACAGGGAACAAATGGGATCCTTACAGATCCAAATCACATTGTACCGAAAATTATGTGATAAGGTTGGTGAATTAATCTGTAACATTAAAAAGACGTCTACCGCGTTTAGAAAATCTCAGATTTCATATATAGTCAGTCTCAATGCTGTTTTGTTAATATGCTTTATTAGATTATGCACATGTGAATTTAAATACATCTTGGACTCCTTTCAGGCTTTTAAAGGCTTAGACCGTGACAGATACACTATACTTCCAAACGTATCCTGGCGCCACTACTAATTAGTAAATTTGGCTACTTTAAGGTGCACCCATAGCTGACACAGGTCCAGAAGAAAGGCATTGATAATAGAATGGGATGCTCTTGAGCAGCTGTACATGACACCATGCCCAGTGCCAAGCATTGGTTAGAGGGGTATAAAGCCCCTCCAACATTGGGCTATGGAGCAGTGGAGTGATGGAGCTCCATCCAGTATCTTTGGGATGAGTTGGTGTGATTCAGAACTAATCAGTTGACATCACTACCTGACCTCACTAATGCTCTTGCGTCTGAATGCAATCAGATCCTCACAGCGATGTTCCAAAAAGCCTTACCGAAAGAGTAGCTGGGGCAAACTCTATTAAACGCAGTTAAAAAGCCTTGATATCAGAAGAAGTGCTGGATGAGGTGTCTACAAATTTTTGGACATATAGTGTACCATGTGGTAGGTAAGATGGCCCATGCTGTGCTTTTGGTTGTTTAGTGCTGGGCTTTTAATGGGATGGGAAAGATTTTTATGGGTACTGTTGACTCAGAGTGTGTGTGTCTATGTGTCAGAGAGAGAGAAAGAGAGCTAGAAGGCTATTTGCAAAGATGTGGGCAGTATAGATTTCTGTGATGTATAGAAGCATAGCCACAAGCATGAGTTAGAAGAAGATGTGCACATACACTTGGGATGTGTGCATGCATTTAAAAGCCACAGAGCCCCTCAGTTCCCACCGCTTCGCAGCTCCAGTCCCTCTGAGGTTTAGGGCCTGTAAATGGCCAGAGCCTTTCAATGCAAAACCATGCTGGAAGGCCCTGAGGATTTGAGTCGTGAAAGCTTAGTGATATGCTTTGTCCGGTGGGGCAAGAGAAGCTCAGAGCCGTTTCTGTAACACATCCTGTCTTTTGTATGCTTAACAAACCAACACAGCGAAGTTACCACATGCTTTTCACAAGAGGACGTTCTACGCTGATGGAGTCAGTTTATTCTTTTGCTTTTGTTCATCTTACTGCGCCTTAGAGCTTCTCCTGCTCTTCTGTGTGAGGCTCTTTTCTGTTAGGAGATGTGAAGGAAATGTTCAAGGGCCTGTGGACTTCTTACTGCTTAGAATACACTCTTAAAGGGGAATTCCACAGATTTTATTGCTGAGATATCAACAGTCATTTACGGTGGTTTGATATAAAAAGGCTCGTTGTAAAGATTTCTTCACAGTGCTGGTAATAGGAACCAAGAGTTGCAGTGTTGTGGTGCAAATACATTTTATTTTCTATCCAGAATTACCAGTGACCCTATGTGTTGTTTGAGTTTTTATACAGTATATAATGTTGATAGCAATAAAATAAAACCTTTCCCCCATGAATGGATTTTAACAACTACATATAAGGCCAAAATCTTATATCAAAATTATTGTAATACAATGCTTTAGACATCAGGCAGTGTATTCATAACCATTTGATGTAATAATGTTCTGTGATGGAGATTTTAGAGGCATGAAACTCTTCAGAAGTCTGGTTCCTATCACCACCACTGTGAACAATTCTGAGTTGTTTCTCTAGAATGAAGCATTTTACATTAAACTACTCTGAACATCTTTATTCATATCTTAACCATTCAATCATGCAGCAATTTTGAATTCCCCTTTAAAATAAAGAACTGCTGAAGCAACTGACTTTTTAAGGAACTACACATTGAAGGCTTCCAAAGGTGTTTCTTCCAGTTTATCGCTCCAGATACCCCTTGTTTCTTGACACATTTCATCTTAATAGTGCAGAGCAAGCAGAACTAAGTATCATTTTGATCACTGCATTATTCAGAATTGTTTATTGTGAAAAGGTGATGCACATGTAAAGAGACATCTTCACTGACAGCCTGTCTAGTCATGTCATATGAAGGTATTTGAAAAAGTGTTGATAGAAAGATGACTTCTTGTGACTGGTCTTGCCTTTTAAAGTTTTTTTTTTTTAATTTAATGGTTTGAAGTTGAATTAGTTGTCTGGGTTACTTGGGTAAAAAAATTTCTTCTGAAAACACAACACATTGCTGTAGAAACTTCTGGCTCCAAAGATGAAGTTTGCATGATACTGTTATGGATTATAGGCAACGCTGAAGGATAGTCAAAGGTGAATAATCAGCATAGTAAATTACATGCAAATTAAGTCAAAATAAGCCAATAAAATTATTGTCCTGTGAAAAATATTGGATATCAAAATCAATTCTGGTATGAAAAATATACATTTTGTTTGCATTCATATTCATATTCCACTGATCGAAGAGGGCATGTCAACTGCTGTAACAGTATTCCCAATCCTGGCTTTGTAGTATCTCTGCTTTGCAAATTTTGAATGTTTTTGCAACTCTGACACCCAATTTTAAACTTAGAAAGTCCTTGTTAACCCTTAAAAATTTGCTGCACTGTTCGACTGTAATTATGAAAGTACATATTTGATTATGTAGTAATTCTGTTAATTATATTCATATTTAGTTTACATTTTGTATCGAAAGATTTAACTGCAATTCTGGCTTTTTTTCCAAAGAAGACTGTGTAGGCAACAGTAACTTTTTTTGATCACATTCAAATCATATAAAAAATCTCTCCTCTTCTACTTACATAAGCAAACATGGCGTCGATTAAAAGTTTAGAATCCATGCTTTAAACAGAAGTTTTGCACATGTTTAATGAGCTATGAATGACAAAAATAAATAAAATTTTTAGCTGATGAGTAATCTCGTGGAGCCAGACGTGATCTTGTAACAGGAACGTCTGCAATAACCATGAGAAATTTTGGGCTCAAGGTGGGTGGGAATTTAGACTTATTAAGGCGGGGACAAACTGAGTGTGAACTTTCTGAACCAACTGTGTCTGTGTTTAAAATACTAAGTCTAAAATTTGACATACTGCTGCTTAAACAGGGAACAAATAGGATCCTTAAAGAGCCGAATCACATTGTACCAAAAATTACATGTCATCAACGTTGTTTGGCGGACAGCAACCCTGTGGTCTGTATATGGATATGACGTAAGTTAGTATGGCTGAAAAGTCCTTCAAAAACTGCAATCAAGCCTGTAGATGTGTGTCATATGTATGGAGAACAAATTGACTCTTGCAAGTGAAAAACATTGTCGTTAGCCAGTGATAGTATTTTGCACACAAGTTCGTTTTTCTTGTGTTATCTCTTGTATTGTGGATGTTAAAAGAGCATGGACAAGGGCAGGTTTTAGAGGGGCCCTACTCTGGTTTGGTCCAACACAGACGGTTGTCCCCAACAGGACTGTAAAACCAATGTTTTGACATTGGATCATTCATGTGAATTAATTATCAACTAATAATCGATTAATCTGCCTAAATGTGACCTGTAAATGTGAAGAGTTGTAACGATAAAAATGTTTGGCAGTGTTCTGACAAACTGAGGTGCTGCTTATTAAGAGCTAGATTCCTACAACAGTAAGCAATGGCTAAAAATAAGAGATAGAAAATTAAATATGTAAATGAACAGTAAATAACAGAACTGATATGACTTAGAACAGTGGTTCCCAAACTGTGGTAGGCATACCCCCCAGGGTTACGTCAAATGACACTGGGGGTATTTCAAAAAATTTCATCGTTTATTTTCATTTAATTTCATTTAATCAGCCAGCTGCACTGTTACACATGTACTTTCCTGATATGGCTGACACAAACAGCTTCCAGCACGTGGCAAACTTTTGCTCTAATAGCTCAGTATTTAATTCTTTCATCATAAAAGGTTGTATTAGAGAAGAAAGCTAAAGACAGTAGAGTTCGTTCAGTTTATCGTGTGATGTTATGTGCATGAATAATGGCACAAATGGACTGTATGATGCTTGTTA